GTTTAACCATAGTAATCCATAAACTCAATAATGAACATCCATACTCTAGCTACAGAATTGAGAAGCATTTTCAGTTTTGTGAACAAATGGCTAATCTTGGAGGACTGATTTTGTTAGTTTTGACTTTGAATTAATAGTATGTCTGGCTTGAAAATTTGTTTTTAAAATAATAAATATTGAAAATGAGTTTTAATTATCAATGAACATAGTATATATATCTCCAGTTCTAATAGCAATGTAGCTTCAGTATGCATATTCTATTTTTACATTCTAGGTGAGATGACACAGCAATACCTATTATCATTTAAAAATTAATATAAATATGAGAAATGCACTCCATTTTTAAAATGAAAACAGAGGTAAATAGCACAAAATAAATTTTTATTCAAGAAAGTAATAAATTTGCTATGTTCATAAGTCTGGTTTTCTTATTAGAATAACTATTCAGTATTCCATTTTGAAACTTGCTTACTTTCTTTTTATATAACACAAAACCATTATCGTTTAATTAAAATAATTTCTTTCACTTCCTAAGACTTGTCACTAAGTTTGATTCAGATTCCAAGTCAAAAGCATTCTCAGCTGAAGGCAAAGGAATATTTGTGAGCTCAAGCTTCAGAGAGAGGTTCTACACCACTCCCTGTATTAAGGTTCTCTGCCTAAATCAGTTGGGAGGGACTACTACAACTCTAACTCTCAAATTTGATGAAGAGTGTTAAGTCTCGTGGTCATAAAGCCATCAGATTAATATTTTGAAATACTGATTAAAGTTTAAATTCACAGAACCATAATATATGAAGGTATTCTCAAAGTGAAACTCAAGGTTTCATGTATTTTAAAATTTTACTGAAAAATATAAACTTAACAAATAAATGTTTTCATTGCTGTAGGATTAAGATTACCTAGGTTAACAAAATTATAAAAACCCTGGAAGACAACCTAGGCAACACCATTCAGGACATAGGAGTGGGCAAAGACTTCATGACAAATACACCAAAAGCAAAACTTGACAAATGGGATCTAATTAAACAAAAGAGCTTCTGCACAGCAAGGAAACTATGAACGGAGTGAACAGACAACCTACAGAATGGGAGTAAGTTTTTGCAAACTATGCAAAAATTTGACAAAGATTCACTAATATCTAGAATCTATAAGAAACTTAAACAAGTTTACAAGAAACAACTTCATTAAAAAATGGGCAAAGGACATCAACAGATACTTTTCAAAAGAAGACATACATGCAGCCAACAATCATAGGAAAAAAAATCTCGATGTCACTGATCATTAGAAAAATGCAAATTAAAACCACAATCAGATACCACGTTACACCTGTGAAAATAGCTGGTATTAAAAAGTCACAGATGGTAGCAAGGTTGTGGAGAAAAGGGAATGCTTACACACTGTTGGCGAGAGTGCAAATTAGTTCAACCATTGTGGAAGGCACTGTGGTGATTCCTCAAAGACCTAAAAGCAGAATTACCATTCAACTCAGCAATCCCATTACTGGGTATAGACCCAAAGGAATATAAAACATTCAGTAATAAAGACACATGTATGCATATGTTCATTGCAGCACTCTTCACAGTAGCAAAGACATAGAATCAACCTAAATGCCCCTCGGTGGTAGACTGGATAAAGAAAATGTGGCAATATATACACCATGGAATACTATGCAGCCATAAAAAGAATGAGATCATGTCTTTGGCAGGGACATGGATGAACTGGAGGTCATGATCCTCAGCAAACTAATGCAGGAACAGAAAACCAAACACCACATGTTCTCACAAGTGAGAGCTAAATGAGAACACATGGACACATAGAAAGAAACAACACACACTGAGGCTTATTGGAGAGTAGAGGATGGGAGGCGAGAGAGGATTAGGAAAACTAACTAATGGGTACTGGGCTTAATACCTAGGTGACAAAGTAATCTGTACAACAAACCCCCATGACACAAGTTTATTTATATAATCTGTACATATACCACTGAACTTAAAATTTAAAGGTTACTGAGTTAAAAGGCATAATAATTTTCATAGCTATTAATACATGTTTCCAGACACCTTCTGAAACAGGAGCAAAATGTTCTTTTCTCTGTGCAAAATTTTGTATTTGGATTTTTTGATTTGGTCTTTTAAATTATATTTAGAATATTAAGATGGGGCCATTGCCATAATATATTAATGTATTAATCTCTCAAATACATGAAGCAAAATGTCTCCAGGGCACCCTGAGAAGACTGCTACCCAAGATCCTGAGATGGCCCTGGTTTTTGTTCCTTCTGAAATCTGGTCAGCCAATGTTTCATATTAATACAGTTGTATTGGTCTGTTGCTTGCCATCAACCTCTAACAGATATATCTCCCTATATGCAGAGCACTTCCAGACAGTTTACCTGCCTTTCTACATGGATCTGAAGCCACAAACCAGTAAAGGTAAATTACGATAAGACCCAAAAGGGTGAACAAGTAAATATTTGACTATGGAATTCCATTTCTCTGATGGCCTGGCTAAGAATGGATGAATGGACTTGCAGAGTAGTGTTCTCAAAGAAACTGGTTTCAGGCCAGGCGCGGTGGCTCAAGCCTGTAATCCCAGCACTTTGGGAGGCCAAGACAGGTGGATCACGAGGTCAACAGATTGAGACCATCCTGGTCAACATGGTGAAACCCCATCTCTACTAAAAATACAAAAAATTAGCTGGGCATGGTGGCACGTGCCTGTAATCCCAGCTACTCAGGAGGCTGAGGCAGGAGAATGGCCTGAACCCAGGAGGCAGAGGTTGCGGTGAGCCAAGATTGCGCCATTGCACTCCAGCCTGGGTAACAAGAGAAAAACTCCGTCTCAAAAAAAAAAAAAATGGGAAACTCGTTTCTCTGGTCTAGACATGTGTATTAGTCCACTTTCACACTGCTAATAAAGACATATCTGAGACTTTATAAGGAAAAATAGGTTTAATGGACTTATAGTTCCACATGGCTAGGGAGGCCTCATAATCATGGCAAAAGGTGAAGGCATATCTCACATGGCAGCAGACAAAAGAAGACAACTTGTGCAGGGAAACCATCAGATCTCATGAAACTTACTCCTATCATGAGAACATAAAGGGAAAGACCCACCTCCATGATTCAATTACATCCCACTCAGTCCCTCCCACAACACATGGAAATTGTAGGAGATACAATTTAAGGTGAGATTTGGGTGGGGGCACAGCCAAATCATATCAACATAGTATTTTAAAACTGACTAAGGGTTTGGATTATCTAAACATGAAAGAGATAGGGGCACTCCTTGAGAACCAAAAGTAGTTTAATGATGAAAAAAACAAATTAGCATTTTATAGGATGGGTACTACAAGAATGTAATTTCTTCCTCAGAAAGAGTAAGTTTTTAGATCAAGCAAGAGAAACAGTATAGCAGAAGTTTTCATTAGAGATATAATACATTTTTTCTGTCTTTTTTTGGTACTATTAACTTTTTTATCTTCTATTTGTGAATTCATTTTTATATGCACACAAAATTATCATCCTTTATTCAAAAGTAAATATAGGTTTGACTATGCATGGATGATAATAGAAGAGAAATTGGTTGGGATATTTATGGATGCTAAGCCTACAAAGAATCTAGGGACCTTTGTATATATCATCTCACCCTAACTTCTTTTCTCCATGCTAGCCCCTAGCTTCAGTGGCCTCCAACTCCTCATGCAGTGAACCCTTAATTCTACAAGACCCTGATGTGTCTGCCTCTCTGGGACCACATCTTGCCTGATCCTGCACTCGAAGCCATACTGACTTCTTTCAGTTCCTTACATCATCCTGCAGAGCACAGTGCCTTTGCACATGCTCTCCCCTCTCCCAAGAACATCCTGCCTCCTACCCTAGAATCTTGCTTCCTCAAATTAATTTAGCACGAACACTGCTCCTCTGGGGATTCCTGACCACCCCAGCAACCAGGTCAGGTTCTTTTGTTCCCCACTCTCATAACACTGTGTCCACTCAGGCTGTAAGTGTACATGTATTTGTGTAATTATTTAAGATATCTTCTAGACTGTAAGCTACATGACAACAGGAACCACATCTGGTTTTATTTACAATTTTATCTCCTACAACTAATATAGTGCTGGGACACATCCTTTGCACATAATTACTTAAATTTAAAAAGGAACAAATTTAAATGGTGCCAATGTCAGAGGCAGATTCCTAGGCTGGAGATCAGAAGTCTGAGATTTTTGTACCTGCACATTTTTTCTGATGCCTATATATTGGGTTGAAAGTGAAACTGCTTTTGCAAAAATTAGATCAGTGAAAAAATTATGGCAGTAAAATATATATGATTTAATCCACCCCCTATCTTGCCTTTCCCTTAATTATTCCTGGGCTTAGGCTAAACTGACTGATATGGTTTGGCTCTGTGTTCCCACTTAATTCTCTCATCTTGAATTGTAATCCCCATAAACCCCAGGGTATTGAGGGTGAAAGCTGGTGGGAGGTGACTGGATGATGGGGGCAGTTTCCCCAATGTGGTTCTCACGATAGTGAGGGAGTTCTCACAGGATCTAGTTGTTTGATCTGTATGGGACTCTTTCCACTTTGTGCAGTTCTCTCTCACCTGCCACCATATAAGATGTGTCTTTGCTTCTCCTTCACCTTCTGCCATGATTGTAAGTTTCCTGAGGCCTCCCTAGCCAGGAGGAATTATGAGTCAATTAAACCTCTTTCCTTTATAAATTACCCAGCCTCAGGTATTTCCTTATAGAAGTGTGAAAACAGACTAGTACATTGACTTCGGGAGACATTTAGTTTATAGTTTAAATGATAACAGGCTTTTCCCCAAACTCGTCTACCTTTGTAACGATAATGCAAGGCCATCAGGCTGGGGGAGGAGAGGGATCTGAATTCTGTGAAGGTGTAGACATAGTTTGCCAGCCATTCCTGGAGATAACAGCCTACTACAGATTGGCCCCCTTGTTTTTAACAAATTTTATAAAAATTTTATTTAAAAATATGGAATGCTTCACAAATTTGTGTGTCATCCCTGCTCAGGGGCCATGCTTCTCTGTATTGTCCCAATTTTAGTATATGTGCTGTTGAAGTAAGCACATAGATTGGCCTTTTGAGGTACCTTTTCAGAGATTGTTTTGTTTTTTTTTTTTTTTGCATGTCTGACATCCATGGTTCTACCTGCATGTTTCTACCTAGACATGCCAACCTCGTTCCTGTGGCTTCACCCAGAAGCAACTCAGTGCCCAGGACAGCTTCACAGAACCCCTATGATTTTATCTCTGCCACAGCCAATCAACAGCAAGCCTAGCCACTCCCACCCATTACCCCAAACTGCCTTTGTAAAACCCCTAACCTACAAGCTTTGAATGAGACTGTTTTAAGTACTAACTCCATTTCTCATATGACATGGCTGGCCTTATGTCTATTAAACTCTTTTTTTACATCAATGACATGGTCTTTGTGCAGAAGGCAGGAAGAACTTCTTGGGCAGTTACAAAAGAAGTCTGTGTAGTGCAGCCTTTTGCAGGTTTGCATTTCCACAAAGACCTACAGGTAAATGTGTAGGTAACATTCCGTGCAATTCTCTCTTCTCATACCAACTGTAGGTAGACTTGGAATATTTGTCTGGTAACACGTGGCTGACCTCAGATAACTATTCTCCCTCTCAAAGAAAGCACACAGGGCTGATGCCCACAAATAAGACATGCTCTGACATCCTTCAAGTGATGCTAGAAGGAGGCAGGTAATGAGAAAGTAATGCTTTTGCATGTTTCTGTTTCCTTATTTCATTATATCCCAGATCATACTTCTAAAAACATGAGTACAGAGCCTGGTTCCAAGCAAGCTGCAGAGAATAAAGACCGCCATCAACAGAAAGATGAAACAGTACTTTGTTTTTCATAGAGAGTAGAATTAGCAGCCTATATGAATGGAAAATGAAATATAATAAAAGTGGAATGGAAAAGCACTTGTTTTAAAAACAACAATGCAGACTTTTAATTTTTATTGCAAAAATCTTGACATTAGGAATACAATCTTGAAAAGATACGAGGTTAAAGTAAGCAAAGCAATTTTTCCCAGTTTAATAAATATTATAGTTAACTTCTTCCTTGGAACAACTATTTAGGTAAAACACATTTTAACAACTCTAGACTATACCATTTATGGCTACATCTTAGCATATATTTCTAGTATTTCATATGTGTAACATTCATTTTTAAAGAGGAAGGGAAAAATAGTAGCTAAATAGCAAAAAAAAAGCTGTTAAATTCAATGAGTATTGCATTAGAATAGTTGGTGTGAATCTTTTACTTTAAGCGCTTACTAAAGAGACATTAAAAAATTTCTAACCACACAACATTAGACACTTAGGTTGCCAAATATTTATGTTTTTTATCTCTCTGAAGCCCAAAAATTTCATGCAAAATTTTCATTTGCATTTCAGGCAAAATTTCAAAAACATTTTGCTTTTAAAAAACAATCAGCAATCTGTTCCTCCAATCTGTAGGGAATAAATGTAAAGACTTCTCTGAACTTCCAACTCCGTTATCAATAATCACCAAGTTCTGCAGAATATATTGGCTATAGTTTTCATGTTTGTCTCCCAAAACTCATGCTGAACTTTGATCCCCAATGTTGGAAAAGAATCCCTATCAGGAGGTGTTTGGGTCATTGGGGGCAAATCCCTCATGAATGATTCAGTGCCCTCCTCATCATAAGGAGTGAGTTTCATTCTATTAGTTCCTGCAAGTGATGGTTGTTAAAAAAGAGCCTGGCACCTCCCCATGCTTCTTGCTTCCTCTTGCCATGTGATCTCCAAACATGCTTGCTCCACTTTGCCTTCTGTCATGAGTGGAAGCAGCCTGGAGCCCTTATTAGAAATAGATGTCGGCACCATGCTTCTTCGTACTCATAGCTCACTGCAACCTCAAACTCTTGGGCTGAAGTTATCCTCCCATCTCAGTCATCTGAGTAGCTAGGACAACAGGCATGTGATACCATGCCTATTATTTTTTCTTTTTCGTGAAAATGAGGTCTCACTATATTGCCCAGGCTGGTTTCAAACTCCTGGGCTCAAATATCCTCCTTCCTTGGCCTCCTGAAGTGTTGGGATTACAGGTGTGAGCCACCACACCCAGCTAACCTCTTTTCTTCATAAATTAACCAGCCTCAGGTAATCCTTGACAGCAACACCAAACAGACTGAGACAGTATCTACATGAATTTTTTTACCTAATTCATCAAATCAGGTTGCAAATTCACATAATTTGTATTTATTTTCTTCTCTCACTAGACCTAAGCTCTTTGAGAGCAAGGTTTATCTAACCTGTGATTAATACAAGTACTCAAAGCCAGACACACAGCAGATGAGCACTACCTTTTTGTTTGGTCAATGCACACATGATTGCTCATGTTGAGAAAAAAATGTTACATGATTTAGGAAAAACTTTTTCTATGCATTTTGGAGAGGAATTATATACAAGTATTTAATATTTAGCATATAGTATTCCCTCTGAGTCAAATACAATGCACAAAATTCTTCCTTTGCAATTCAGGGGATTAAAAAAATAACCATCCTAAAATATGAGCATGGGAGGAAGTGCTTCTAATATTCCTAAATCTCTGGGAAAACTATACTGAGACCTGAAAGTGGAGAAATCCACTTTCTACAAAAAGTTTGTTCTGTGTGCTGAAATTAACGCTATCAAACATGCTATAAGCAAATTAGTAGGATGTACGTTCTGTCTGTTCCCTGTTATACACTAGGAAAATGCAAGGTGACTATGGGCCCTAGTCTCTAATCTGTCTGGTTTATTTCACTTAGTATATCCTCCAGGTCCATCCGCATTGTTGTAAATGACAGAATTTCCCTTTTTTTGTGGGGGAATAAGGTTGAAGAGTTTTCCTTTGTAAATGTGTGTGTATGTGTGTGTATGTATATATGTGTATGTATATAGGCCAGACTACTGACGGCAATATGTGTGTGTGCGCACGTGTGCATGTATATATATATGTACACATATTGTGTGTGTGTGTATATGTATATATATATGCCATGTGTATACACACACACACAAGTTTTCTTTGCCCATTCCTCCATCAGTGGATGCCTAGGTTGATTCCATGTCTTGGCCATTGTGGATGATGCTACAATGAACATGGGGATGCAGATATCTTTTCCAGATACTAATTTTATTTCCTTCAGATATATATCCAGAGATAGGATTGCTGAATCAAATGAATGATAGGCCTATTTTTAATTTTTTTAGGAAACTTTATACTGTTTTTTATAATGACTGTACTAATTTACATTCCCACTGACTGGCTTGCTGCCAGGGTCTCTGGTTGGGCAGGGCCAGTGCCTGTGTTATGAGGTCAACTCAGGACTACTGGCTGGGGTCCTTGGTCAGGTGAGTCTACTAGCTATGCTCTATGGTCAAGCAGGGTGAGTGGCTGGACTCTGCAATTGGGCATGGCCATAGTCTGTGACTCAAAGTTGGGCAAGGTAACTGGTTAGGCCCCTTGCCTAGGTAGGGCTGCTAACTGTTCCATGGATGGGAAGGGTCACTAACCAGGCTTCTTTGTCAGGCAGGGCTATAGGCTGTGCTCTGCTAGTCAGTTTGGTCACAGTCTAGGCTCTTTGGCCTGGCCAGACTACTGATAGCAATCTCAGCTGGGCAGAGTTCTGACCATCCTTGTTGGCCAGTTGGGGCAACTGGTTTAGTTTTGTGGGTGGGCAGAGCCAGTGGCTGGTCTCTTTAGTTAGTGAAGGCTGCTGGCAGGGATCTAGTGCCAGCACCAAGATTTGTCTGCTGATAACGCTAAGCTCTGCCTCCCTTTTTTTGTACTTAGCTCACCCCTTGTGTTCTAGCCATGCAAATTCCTCCAGTGTTCCCCCTGAAGTGAGATATAAGTGGGCCTCCTGGGAAGCACTCTAAAATGCTAGGGAAGCTGACTACCTCAGGCTCTTTTATTCTCACTGGAGAACAAAAGGGTCCCTCTTGGAGTGGCAATCTGCCAGCCTGTGAGAGGGGCAACATGGTCAAAATGAAGCCATTTATCTTACCCTTGTAATGTGACTTTTCTTAGTTTTTGTACTCCAAGGGAGTGGTTCAGTCTCACCTACCCTGTCCCTTCTCACCACGACCTCCTCTCGGGTTCTGGTATTTTTCACAAAGGCATTCTTGTCTGTAGATAGTTGCTAATCAATATTTCTGTGAAAGAAACTAAAGTCAGTGACCTTATATTTTGCCATCTTGTTAACCCAGACAAAATTCTGAAAAAATGATCACCCTGGGCTTGGTAGGAAAAATTTGAATATGTGGGAATCTGTGAGAAAAACAACACCTTAAGAGGAGCCCTTCTTCCCTATGATAAGTGGACAAAGACTCACCCTGAGCTGAAAGAATCATAGAGATCAAGCTTTCTAAATATTTCCACCAGCAAAAGACAGGTAGAAAAGGCATAACGATAAGGATTTTGAGGATAATGATCATGACAAAACACACAAGCTTGACCAGATGGAGGGAGGAAAAAACAGGAGCAAGCCAAAACCTGAAGCCATAGAGTCTTGTGCAACAGATCAAAATGAGTCCTTCCAGGGAAAGTATAAGCTGCGATTCATGGAATGGCCTTTTTGTGGATTTAGAATGTAATTTCACATTAAAAGAACACAGATGTGATATAGCTGCCCAGGCCTCAGTCTTCTTCACTCCCAGGTTCTCAGGTTGACTCACAGGGCTTTGTGTTCATGCATATTTATACTAACAGAATGAAAAAAAAAGCCTGTTTTACTAAAACAATAAATTTTTAAAAGTAAATTAAATTTGTATCATCTGTTCTAGCACTTACTTATCATAGAAAGCAGTCATTTTAGGACTTTTGAAGGGCATAACTTTCAAGAAATACTTATGAATTGGACATATTTTTACAAACCTATAAAAGAAAAAAGATGACATTCAACTATACTATGTGAGTTTCTAACACTTCATTAATGATTCTTGAATGCAATGGTCAGTAAGTGAACAAAAGTATGATAAATTTTTATCTCAAAGTCATTGCTGTTTAATGGTATATGTTTGTTACAGCAATTAATTA